CTTAACCATGGTATATTATTCTTTTCTTAATTGCCTGCTTTTGTTTGCCATTATATTTATTATATTTTGGGTTTTCTTGAATTGACACTAAACGTGAGATTGGTGGTTTTGTCATGACATCTTTGTTATCCTGTTGTGCTGGCTTCAAGAGATAGTTTAGAATTCCTCACCAACTTTTTTAAATGCTCTGGATTAGTCCAAGTAGTACTACTTTAATCTTTCATTGAAGTATAGTTACATATGCATTTTTATGAGTGTAATCTTGGGGTCCTCAAATTTTTTATGTTGTTAAGCTTAATATTTTATAAATGTAGTTATATTGTCTTTCATTTACACATTCAAAATTAAGTTAGAGTTAATTATTTTGGGAAATTATCAAGAACAAATCACCTCACACCATACATTCTTTTTAAACAAGTTTCAGTGAACTTGAAAGTTCAGATAACATTGCTGTGACTCCCCTCTCTCCCTTCCTTCTTTCCTTCCTTCCTTTGAACTAATCAAATTTTTGCTCCAGTTTTAGCTTTATTTTTTGTGTTGGTATATTGGGGGGAGGAGGGACCAACTCCTAAACTATGCATTTTCTTAGAGCTATAAATACCTTGTTTTGTAGATCATAAAACAGATACCCAGGAAGTTCAAGTACCCTGCTCACTCTCATTCTCACTGGAGAGTCAGACCTCATACTACACCACTGCTTCTCTGTTAGTTCTGCGTGCATGTGTGTGTGTGTGTGTGTGTGTGTGTGTGTGCGTGCGTGTGTGTGTGTGTGTTTCGTGTTCTGTTATTCCTTTCAAGCCTTCTCCCTTCCACAAATAATTGTTAAATACCAAATATGTGTCGGTCACTGTTGAAGGTGTTAGGAGATATGAAGACGAACAAGGCAGTCTTTGTAGTTGAGAAATTTACAGTTTAGTTAGAGACTCAGACAAGTAAACAGATAGTCGCAGCACGAAGATGGTGCCCATAGGATGTAAATGGGCAGAAAGCACAGTGGAGGGGGTGGGTCACTAAATGCGACTTGATGGTTGGAAGAAACTTGACAGAGTCTTGGACTTGGCCTGAGAAGAATTCTCTTCCTGTTTCCCATTCCTTGAGCTCAAATGTTCTATCAAGAACAATACCTATCTAAAAATATTCCCATTCCAGGGAAGGTGCTTTGGCCTAGAGAGCCCTGTGGTTAGAGTGCCTATGTTGTCTATATTACAATCTCCACAACTCTTTCTTTCTGTTAATAAATATTGGGCCTCAAACCAGTTTGGAGTTCTCTGCTCCATCCTAGATGGATTCTACTCTCAGATGCTCTAGACAGAACCATCCCTTTGGCAATGCTCAAAGACTTCAGCAGTTCTAGGAGGCAGGAATTTATTCTTGAGAGGGCAGAAGATAAAGGTGTTTACTTTTATGTTTAACACAAGAGTCCTCTGGCAGTGGTTCAATTGTGTTCACTTTAGTGCATTGAGGTTAACACTCTTGATTTATCTATCCCAAGAAATTTCTCAGTTTATTTATTATCGTTTTCCCTATACTAGTTCTTTTATTTAACACATTTGTGGCCTCCTGCTGGGTGCTTATCTCTGGATATAGCATTGTAGGAACACAAAAAATTAGAAGACACGCTCCCTGCATTGTCTTATTCCTGACTATCTAAAGGAATTTTTAGTCTGTGTAGTTGGGAAGACAAGACAAATGGAAACCAAAGATAAATAATGGCAAGTTATTGTATAATATGTCTCAAATGAATGGCATAAACAACTATTTCTATTGAGTGTAGGAGAGGGAGTGATTACTGTAGAATACAAAAGGTTTTATTTGCCCCAGATTTGTCCGCCTTCAAGCGTGTGATAGTTACTTCATGTACAAAATTGGCTAGGCTAGGAAACCCAATTGTTTTGTCAAATACCAGTCTAGATGTTGCTGTGAAGATATATTGTTTTAGATGTGATTAATATTAAAATTAGTAGACTTTGAATAAAGCAGACTACCCTCCATAATGTGGACGAGGCTTATCTAATCAGCTGAAGGCCTTAAGAGAAAAGACTGAGTTCCCTGAGCAGGAAGGAATCCTATCTTCAGAATGCCTTCTTTAGACTCAAGACTGAAACATTAACTCTTCCCTGGGTCTCTAGCCTGCTGGCTTGGTCTGCACACTTTGAATTTGCCAGTCCCCACAGCTGCATGAATCATTTCCTTAAAATGAATCCATCTCTCTCTATATATGCATGTCATTGAGTTTGTTTCTCTGGAAACCCAAAGATTCTCATCCTTTTTCAGCCTGGTCCCTAAGGTAAGAAGACCTAGTACATATAGATGTCTTCACTGATATGCAATGTCGTTCATTTCTTTATCCGTTCAAGAAAAATTTTATTAGCTACCTATTAGTATGGTGGATTAAGAGTGTAGGCTTTAAACCCAATCTACCTATGTTTATTTTCTAGTAGGACCCTCAGTTCTATCTGTAAAATGGATACAATAGTGGTTGTTTTGAAGAATAATTGAGTTAATAAAAATATGCTAAGTGTCTTAAACAGTTTCTAGCATGCATGTTAGCTATTTTTATTATGACTGTATAGTAGGGGTCCTGTACCTCGTTTTGTGAGACAATGTTAAGTATTATACACAGTTAGCTCTAAAGTAGCTCATGGCCTATTTGGGGAGTCAGAGAAATAAATGTACAGTCCCAAAAGAGTGTGATAGAGATATTTTAAAATTTTATTTTTCAATTGCAGTTTACATTCAATATTATTTTGTTAGTTGCAGGTGTACACATAGTGGTTAGATAATCATATACTTTACAAAGTGGTCCCAGCAGTATTTCTAGTACCCACCTGGCACCATATGTAGTTATTACAATATTACTTACTTACTGTGTTCCCTATATTGTACTTTGTTACGCTGTGACTGTTTTGTGACTGACCAATTTGTACTTCTTAATCCCTTTACCTTTTTTACCCAGTACCCCAACCCCCCTCCCCTGTCAACCATTAGTCTGGTCTCTGTGTCTATAGTTTGTTTCTATATTGTTTTGTCTTTTATTTTGCTCTCTAGAGTCCACATATAAGTGAAATCTTATGGTTTCTGTCTTTCTTTGACTTATCTCACTTAGCATAATACCCTCTAAGTCCATCCATGCTGTTGCAAATGGTAAGATTTGTGGTAGGGAGATTGATGGAGGTGCCCAGGGCCACGGGCTGTTCAGGAGAACACCAACTTGGTGCTCAGAACGCTGCGAGGCCTGGACGAGAAATTTGAGGTTCAAGCTGTAAAGGCAGAAAGAATAACCTGTGTGTGTGTTGGGGGGGGGGGGAGGGGGAGCAGAGAAATGGTGGTGTATTCAAGGGAAGTGTTTGTCTGAAGAAAAGCATGAGGGTGAATTGGCGGCAGGAGAGATAAGCCTGGGGCCAGATGATGGAGGGCTCTGTGGGCCAGAGTGAGATCATCTCATCTTTATCTTGCTGATACCTACGAGGAGGGGAAGACTGCTCGTACTCTGCACCCTGCTCAGAAGGGCTACTGTTCTGAATTCAGGGCCTTTCCCTGCAGCGTTCGTCTTCCCACATCCCAGAACTTCTGATTGCCCTTTAAAGCTTAGTTCGAGACTACCTCCTCTGGGGAGACTTCCTGCCACCTTAGGCTGAGAGGGAGCCCCTCCGGTGTGTCCTGTAAGTCAGTGCTTCTGTCTTTGAAAGCGTATCTTATTTGGTCTCTGTCTTTTTCTTTCCACACAGAGATAACATTTTTATCTCTATCTACCACAGGCCTTTCAGTCTTGGCCCACAGTAGGTCCTGAAAAAACGTCTGTTGACCAAATTAATAAGAGAATTTAGGGAGCCCATCAGAATCCCCTGGGTAGAAGTTTCAAAATACGTATACATTGCCAGATCCACACCTACACACACGGGTATCTCTCAGCCTGGACTGGGGTTCGTGGATCTGTCTTTTGAAAAAGCCCCATTTGATTTTGTGGCTCATCCCTGGGTAAGAACCACTGATGTAACTCAATCTATTCTTATGTCCACTCTGAAGTTCACTGAGGGTAAGTGACTTACCTAATATCACACAAAATTGAAGGAAGTACCCAAATATCTCTCCATTGTGTCTTTTCTTTTACATTCTAAAGAAAAACAAAGATGTGTTGGGAAAAAGAGATTTGATGTGAGGCATGAAACAAAATATCAGTATGAGATGAAAGTTCTCTGGTTCTTCAATAACAATAATTATCATGAATGATGATAAACCCTACTGTATTTGAAAGTATAGATATTACTAATGATGGTGCAGATGTTTGGAAGGGCTCAGCCCTGGTCAGCCCTGCTTCCTGTTTGTGTGAAAGGGAATGACTGAGAGGATGGCAAAGCTAAGCATCGGGGTGTGTGTGTGTGTGTGTGTGTGTGTGTGTGTGTGTGTAAAAGCTCAAAGCTCAAAGAACCAAAAGAGAATGTGTACATGTAAGAGAATGGGGTGGGGGACACGAGGATGTTTAACTAGAAGAGTGAAATAATGAACTTCATGCACACTGTTACCCCAATATGAATTTGTAAAATCTAAATATTCTTTTTAACAATAAACATTTCTTGAGTGCCACCAGGTATGCTAGGGATGGCTAATAATACTTCTATTCCCTAAACTTTTATCTCACCTCATCCAAACCAATGCTTCCTAACAAGAAATTTGATTTTACTCTCAATAGATAAAGAAAATAGTTTTTTATTCTCCATTTAGGTCAAAAGCAATTTTGGCGGCAGTCCAGAAACTCCCCGGGGCACCAAGAATAACTAGAAGCTTATCTTTGTGAATGTCTTTTTTGGGCCTGATTCTCATTCTCTAGCATGTTTTCTTCTCCAGTCCTTTGAATTTTCTTTCTTTTCTTTTTTTTTTCTTTTAATTTTGCAGTTTTCATTTATTTTTCATCACATGTCTCTTCTTTGATGTCTCCCCAGCTTCCTTACGTAGGTCTTCCATTCTCCATTGGGATGACAGTAACGTTTCAATAGCTCATATTAATGGAAGTGGGAGATTTACCGTCCTCACAGTAGCAGGAATGCAGTCTGGTGAAGTAGAGGGAGGCTTGGACATGGTTCTGGAGACCCTTTATCACTAACTAGCTGGATGACCTTGGGCAAAATAGCAACTTCTTGGAATCTTAGGGCCTTATCTCTAAGAAGAAGGATTCGACAAACATAATTTCTAGGCATTAACATTCGGTGACATTGTTTTTAAAACTTTTCTTTTTTTAAGGTAAAGAGTGAGATTTGCACTCATATTTGAAAATATGCTTCTTTGGTGATAATTAACACTGGGCTTAAAAGTCATTTTGTATTCTGCTACTTTGTGTTGACTTGAGCTTTATACACGAGGGCTGGGATCTGGGACCCTCGTGTTCCAGGCCGTCATCAATCAAATGTTGGAAACTTTCCAGATAGGAGCCCACTCTGAAGGGAATAAGGAGATAGAATAGAAACAGTCCTTGACTTGTGTTCTTTTTTTAAAAAAATTGTGGTAAAGTCACATAACATAAAATCTACCCTAGTAACACATTTTTAAGGTTACTGCAGTATTGTTACCTATGGTGCAGATCTCTAGAACTTTTTCATCTTGCACGGTTGATACATACTCAGTGCCCAGCAACGCCCCATTCCCCACATTGCCCAGCCCTGCAACTACCATTCTACTTTCTGACTCTATGAGTTTGACTACTTTAGAAGCTTCAGATAAGTGGAATCATGTAGCATTTGTCTTGTGATGGGCTTATTTCACTTAGCATAATGTCTTCAAGGTTTATCCATGTTGTAGCATGTGACAGAATTTCCTTCTTTTTAAAGACTGTATAATACTCCTTGGCTTATGTACTGAACTAGAATTTTTTCTGAGTATGATATACATAAAATTAAAACTCACATATTTCATTTCAACACTTTTTTGTACTCCTGCTGGTAGATCTTAATGCAAAAACTCTGGGGGCAGACTGGCCTAGTAGCCACTCACGTCCAAGGTTGGGTCTCTTTACCTTTTGATGTCTTACCAATATTGCATAATTCTCCTTGTATTATTTTTCATTAGTTAGCTTTATACAAAACAGAAGTTTCTGTCTGCAAACATGGCCTTTTTGCTGGAATGATCAGACTTTTGGGGGGCAATCTAGATTCTTGCCTTGACTCCAAGCAGCCTTAGGCAAAGTTCCTGCCACCATGGGCCTCAGTCTTCTCTTCTGTAAAATGGAGAGGTTAGATTGGTTCCGTGGTCCTCAGCAAGGGCAGTTTTGCCCTTCAGTGGATATTTGACAATGTCTGAAGACATTGTGGTTGTCACACCTGGCCCCTCACTACCTGTACTGGGTAAAGGCCAGGAATTCTACTAAACATCCCACAATGCACAGGACAGGCACCCCCAGCCCCATAGAATTATCCAGCCCCACATAATGATAGTGCTGAGGTAGTGGGATCCTGGACTAGCAAACGTCTGAGTTCTCTCCATCTATGAAATGCCACGACTCCTCCATCGCTTCAATGTTCCCTTCACTCTCTCATCGGCTCAGGCCTCAGATAAAAGTGTGAAGTAGGAGATTTTATCCGATTTCTTCTTTCTCCTTTCCTCTTCTGCCCTTCCTAAGCTTTCATCCCCATTCCTTCTCTTCACTGTTTCCTCATGCTCTGGGACAGGGCTGAGACATCTGAACAGCGTCTGAACTCTGGGTGGCATCAGGCTGGCTTCAGGGAAGAGGACATGTGATCAGCCTGGGCCTTAGCTGCCACACGGCTTCCTGCTCACGTTCTGAGTTCATGTGTGAGACCCCCCACCCTCTAGTTATGTAAGCTTGTGGAGGTGGGGCACTAGAGTTTAGTACTAAAATCAGACGATGTTTAGTGCTTAGTTTCAATTTTAGCTACTGTTAAGTTTTGTTCCTTAGGCTTTTCTACCCCGACAGTTGCCGTCTTGTCCAGGACCTTAACGTGTGAAACAGTAACAATAGGCCTACCTGCTTGTGCAGGTTAGTCCAGAGGACCAAAGAAATAACATGCCTTATATATACCTTGCTTTTGAGAGATAATCTTTAATAATTTATTTCTAGAATGTCTTTTATGCTAGAAATACATTAACTATTCAAACATAAATCCAGAACCTAGGTGTGATCTTTGATATTTCCTCCTTTCTCGTGTTCAGACCTAACTCATCTCCAAGGCCTGTCCATTTTGCCTCCTAAATATCCTCCAAATCCAATCCTTAAACCCACCCGGGTCAGTAACTTCAGTCCAAGTTCCCATCACCTCACCCTGGACCACAGTGATCACTGGTCCCCCAGTCTTGTTAACACTGAAACAAGAGCCAGCATTCCTTTTTATTTTTAAATCCTCACCTGAGGACATTTTTCCATCCATCTTGAGATAGAGCGGGAGGGAGAAAGGGAGGAAGAGAGAGAGAGAAACATCGACGTAAAAGGGACACATCGAGTGGCTGTCACCTGCATGACCAACCAGGGCCGGGGACAAACTGCAACTGAGGTAGGCACCCTTAGCGGAACCGAACCCAGGTCTCTCTGGACCGCAGGCCGACACTCCAACCGCTGAGCCAAACTGGCCAGGCCCCTCCCCCTCAACTTTTACCTCGTTTTTTTATTTTTATTTTTTATTTGTGCCCCTAGCGGGAACCGAACCCAGGACTCTCTGGTCTGCAGGCTGACACTCCAACCACTGAGCCAAACCGGCCAGGGCTTAACCCGTTTTTTTAAAAACTCCAGCAACAGTAGCCATTTCTCAATTCTTGAACTCTCCATGCTTCTTCAGGAGCTTTGCACAAGTTTTTCCTCAGTCTGGAATGTTCTCTCCACCCTTACTTCTACCCTTCTGTCTTAGCTCGGCTCTCCCAGAAGAAGACCCTGACCATCGGGACTTGAGTTTATATACAGTAGTCCCCCTAATCTGCGGTTTAAGTGACCTCTGGTCAACTGCAGCCTGAAAGGAGTTAGTGGAAAATTCCAGAGATAAACAGTTCAGAAGTTTTAAGCTGCACACCGTTCTGAGCAGTGGGATGAACTCTCAGCCGTCCAGCTTTGCCCCACCTGGGCCATGACCGTCCCTTTGTTGGGCGTCCCCATGCTACAGATGCCCTCTGCCCCCGGCTACTTAGTGGCTGCAGGGGATGTCGCTGTGGTGTCATAGCGCTGTGCTCAGGTCACCCTCGTTTTACCTCATCACGACCCCAGAGTGCGAGGGCAGTGATGCTGGCCCTCGAATCGCCGCTGGAAAGCCGTGAGGTGCCTCCTGTAAGCGCAGAGGGGAGCACAGTAGGTCCTGGCTGGAGGCTCTGCGTGGTTTCAGTACAACGCTGGTGGGGAAAACAGCTGCCTCCAGCTGGTGCCCCATCTGGGTGGCGTTTGCACGTCCTCGCGGGTCTGTGCAGGTGTCCCGAGCCTGCGGGTTTCCTCCCGCACCCGAGGCCCGCACGTGCGGGGAGTGGCTGGCTGCCGTCCAGGCTGGGTGTGCCTGTGCGTGTGGGCGTAGGCGTGGGTGGGCGTGGTCCTGTCGTGGGCGGGGCCTGGCCAGCGTGGTCCTGCCTTCGCCCTGCGCGGCCCGGAGAGGCTCCGGCCACCCGTGACCCTGAACTGGAACAAGCAGGTTGGGAAATCATTATCTGACTTGTTCCTGTTAATTTTTCTTAAATGTATGGATAACTCACATTTATGTCAATGTTTATTATTAGAAGTGTTTTGGGTCTTTATTTAGAAGTTTGGTGATGGTTTTGTGACCGGAAATAGGCCGTGCGAACTGAGCTCTTGTTTGTATCAATGAGCTTGTGGTCAAATGGGTTTCCTTACCTGTCAGTTTGCTTGGAGTTTTCGGGAACCTGTCGGTGAAAAAAAAAGAAAAAGAACTTGTCGGTGATGTTAAGTGAGGACTATGGTATGGGACAATACAATATTTTGACATAATACTCCTGAATTTTGAGAATTAACGATTTTTTTTTTATCCTCACCTGAGGACATTTTTGCATTTATCTTCAGAGAGAGCAGGAGGGAGAGAGGGGGGAAGAGAGAGAAACATCGATGTGAGAGAGGCACATCGAGTGGTTGCCACTCACACGACCCCAACCAGGGCTGGGGATAAACTGCAACTGAGGTACGTGCCCTTAGCGGGAACCGAACCCGGGACCCTGGTCTGCGGGCCAACTCTCTAACCGCTGAGCCAAACCGGCCAGGGCAATTTTCTAATTTTTATGAGCTGCTAGCTTGGTTATGTGATAGTCTGATACTTGGTTATGTGATAGTCTGATACTTCATATCAAAGGTATGTATTGATTTATATTGTAGCATGCATTTGTTTCCTGATGAATATTGGGTCAAGTCCTTAATGAAACAGATACTGTTTGTTGTTTTTCTCCTCATATTCCCCAACAGCTGGTAAAACATTACGGCGTTCCTAAAACCTTTTCCTGTGGCTGCAGTTTCTCTCATTGAATCTGAGTGTCGATAAGACGGGGACCTATCCATCCCGTGGCTTTTCTTTCTTTTTCTTTTTTTTTTTAATCCTTACCCGAGGACATTTTTTGATATTTTGTTCAGAGAAAGAGAGAAAGAGAGAGAGATCGACATGAAAGGGACACATCGAGTGGTTGCCACCCAACCAGGGCCGGAGACAACCTGCAACCGAGGTATGTGCCCTTAGGGGAACCGAACTCGGGTCTGTCCAGACCGCAGGCTGACGCTCTAACCGCTGAACCAAACCGGCTCCCGTGGCTTTTCTTACAGTCAAAGCAGTCCTCTCTCGGTGTAAACCCTGGCAGCCATCCGCTTCACTGGGCCAGGGTGGAGGCCTGACCTACTGTTTGTTTCGCTGCTTTCTTGGCTGGAGATCAAGCCCCGAATTTCTTCTGACTTGGCAGTGGTTTAGGCAGATGTGACCTTTCCAGCAGTTGTCAGGTTCCTTGGGTAAAGGACCAGCAGCTTCTGGTGGTTGCAGGGGATACAGTTCTCCACAACCTGGCTGGTGGTGGCGTGTTACCGTGAAAGCAAATCTTGGACAATATTCTGCCAGATACACCAGCATAAAACCAGTCATGCAATCTGCTCCTGGGAGCTGGGGGGGGGGGGGGGGGGGGCTCCTCTCAGAGACTTCATGACAGTGCTACTTCAAGATGACTTTGGAATCAAGATTGGCTGTTCTTGTCATCATAAGACATTGCATCCGCAGTGGATTAAGATGCTCACGCAAGGTCTGTGTTGGAGCCCCTAAAGTGTGGGGGCAGGATTTCTCTACGTTTTCTCCAAAGCTATTACTAGCTCCTGGGCTTCTCTGATCCTTATACTTCATTCACTTTAGCATGGAAGGGCCTGGATAATTTATTTTAAATTTTGGTAAAAGAAACATAGCATGATATTTTAACCACCTTAACTATTTTTAAATGCCACACTTCAGTGACATTAAGTAAATTCACATTGTTGTGCGACCATCACCACCATCCAGCTGCAGAACTTTTTCACCGTCTGAAACTGAAACTCTGCACTCATTTATTATTCTCCCCAATCCCCCAAAATCTGGCAGCCATCATTCTACTTTGTGTCTCTATGGATTTCCTACTGTAAGAACCTTATATAGGTGGAATCATACCATATTTGTCCTTTTTAGTCTGGTTTATTTCAGTTAGCATTAATGTCTTTAAGGAGCCTGGACAATTTTTTATAGCAACTATATTCCTTGAATACCACTTACTTCCCTAAAATAAATTATTTCTAATGTCCTTCATGCTATTTAACAAACCAGTGGAGTAGATTTAAGTAACAGTATTTAAGGGGCTTAGTAGCGATCTCTGAATTGTAGATTCTCACTTAACAGAGTTTTTCTTATGCTAACTAATCACCATTTGCACATTACATAGTTCAAACCAGTCTGTTTCAAGTAAATTATCGCACTGGTGCGCTAAGGGGTAGTTAAAATTCAAAGGCTTCTGACAGAGGTGAAGTGCTGAGTGTTAATAAGGAAGGGACGCTTCTCATCAAAGTAGCAGGATCACAGTTGGGTTCTGTGACTCAGTAGGGTTTTGGGATGTCTGGAATTTTGCATAAATCTCTCTCTCTGTTTCTGGGGTAAAAGTTTAAATTCTTAGGGTGGGTTGTGGATTCCCTAAAAATGTCACTAGACTTGTTAGAAGGGGAAGCACTCTTTTTTATAGTCTTGGAAGAAACAGATGGCCAAAAGCCTATATATCCAGGTGGGGAGGCACAATGCACTGAATGTTTATGTTCCCCCAAAATTCACACGTTGAAATCCTAATCCTCAATATGATGGTATTGGTCAAACAACAAGTGCTGGCGAGGGTGTGGAGAAAAGGGGACTCTAGTACACTACTGGTGGGAATGCAGATTGGTACAGCCACTATGGAAAACAATATGGTGTTACCTCAAAAAATTAAAAATTGAATCGCCATTTGACCCAGTGATCCTACTTCTAGGAATATACCCTAAGAAGCCTGAAACACTAATCAGAAAGAATATATGTACCCCCATGTTCATAGCAGCACTATTTATAATAGCTAAGATCTGGAAACAGCCCAAGTGTCCATCAGTAGATGAATAGATAAAAAAGCCGTGGTACATATACACAATGGAGTACTATGCAGCTATAAGAAAGAAAGATCATTTATCCTTTGAGATGACCTGGAGGGACTTGGAGAGTATTATCCTAAGCAAAACAAGCCAAGCAGAGAAAGACAAATATCACATGATCTCACTTATTTGTGGAATATAATAAACATAACAGTCTGAGAAACAAAAAATAGACCCAGAGACGTGGAAGTAGGGTACAGACTGACAACCCTCAGAAGAGGGAGTTGGGGGGGAGGGAAGAGATAAACCACAGAACTTATATGCGTATGCATAACCGATGGACACGAGCAACAAAGCTGGGGACGGGGACGGGGTCGGGGGTGGGGTGGGGTGGGGGAGGAGGGTGTCAATGGGGAAAAAAAGGAGAAACATCTGTAACAAAAATAAATTAATAAAAAAAATAAAATAAAAACAAAAACGAAAATATGATGGCATTCGGAGGTGGGGCCTTTGGGAGGTGATTAGGTCATGAGGGCTGAGCTCTCATGGATGGGATTAGTGTCCTTACTAAAGGGACTCTAGAAAGCTCTCCTGCCCCTGCTGCCCCGTGAGGACTCAGTGTCCATCTGTGAACCGAGATGGGCCCTCACTGGACGCCTGGTCTTCGACTTCCCAGCCTCTAGAACTTTGAGAAATAAAATTCTGTTGTGTATGAACTATGGTGTTCTGTGGTGGCAGCCCAAACCAAGTTCGGTGGCAGTATTTAGAAGCTGGGGTTTATTGCCTCTGAATTCTTGTGCCACCCAGAGCTGAGGCTCCTGGCTGATGGCAACTCCGGGGACCAGGCTGACCCTGGCAGCTGTTCCCCTCCTTGCTTCCAGTGTTTTGATCCATTTATGCTGATTACTTCCGCTAAACAAGTCTCTGATGCCATTTGTGTCTTTATCTCCATAAAGATACATTTGTTAATAGCTGTAATTATCACTTGGGGTAGTCCTTTAGCCTTAATTATGTTTTGGCCTTTAGTGTAATTCCTCTTATCAGAGGCAGCAAATTCATATCAGACCTGCAGTCTCAAAACCTTTCCCACCCTTGAGGGCAGCTGCATCTCACAACTCTAGGGGGTACTGTTCACTTTCATTCTATGTGAATGGCACCTCCTGCAGTTGGGTGGCACAGAGGCCTTGTTAGTTATCAAGGATTTCTTGTGAGGGTGAAGGCCACCAGAGTCTTCACTGACATCATTTTTCTCCTGGCTAACTTAACTCTTTCATTTATATGTTTAACATGGGCAGTTAAAGAGGAATCAAGAATAGGATACTTGCATCTGTGTTCGAAATGAGCAAAATGACTTTTGGTGTTTTGCAAAGTTCTTTACAGTGATTGGCTAATGAGGGAGTTCAGGGAGATAAATAACATCAGGAAGATTTCAAGGCTAATAATGCCCTAATTTTCTGTTGCAGCCTTTCTTTCCTAGACTTCTAAATGATGCGCCAATTTAGCAAGCTAATGTAAACCATTCCTTCCTACCTGGATGCTCTTCTCACCCTGCCTGTCTCACCTTTCTGCATTCTCGAAATTCCAACTCAAGTCCCAGCTTTTCCACGAAGTCTTCCCTGCCTCTTCTGCTCACGGCCCCAGTGCCCTCTTCTCAGTCCACTACCACTCGGAAGTGCAGCTTAGCACCAGCGTTTACCACGTGTTGCCGTGCACGGTTAGCTTTGTGTGTGTGTGACAGGATCATGTTTTGAGGTGCTATCTAGTATAATTGTATTGCTGGTAACTTTTGTAGCTCTTCCCATGGGGGCTGAGGCATCTACTGAATCCAGTGCAGAGTTAGAGAAACAGTTCCCAAGACTTCCCTCATGTCTGACACCAGTTTCAAGTTTAGGGGGTTCCCAAGACATTCTCAGGTTTGATAATTCAGTTGAAGGGCTCATAGAACACACTAAACGCCGTTCTCCTCCTGGTATGGGAGAAAGAAGATACAGACGAAGATCAGCCAGGGAAGTGACACCTGGAGCAGAGCCTGGGAAAGTTCCCAGTGTGGAGCTTTCTGCTGTCCTCTCCCAGGGTGATGGACAGTGTTACCCTGGGAGATGATGTATCTCCCAGCAAGGATGCGTGCTAATGCATGTGGAGTACTGCCAACCAGGGAAGCTCATCAGAGCCTTGGGGTCCAGAGTTTGCAGTGGGTTCCAAGGTTGACTGCCCATGTGGCTGATTCAGGCTTCGACTCCTTCAGAAGTTGAACTGATAGTATATGACTCAAAGCCCCACCGTAAATAACATTGATAGACTTTCTGATGTGGTCCAAAGGCCCCAGGTAAGCAAGGAAATTCTTTGTTTTGTTTTTGTTTTTGTTACTCCTCACCCGAGAATATATTTTCCATTGATTTTTGAAGAGAGTGGAAGGGAGGGAGGGAGGAAGGAGAGAGAGAGAGAAACATCAATATGAGAGAGACACATTGATTGGTTGCCTCCCACACGTGCCCTGACAGGAACTGGGGATCGAACCTACAACCCAGGTACGTGCCCTTGACCAGGCATCGAATCCACAACCCTTTGGTGCGTGGGCCAATGCTCTAACTGCTGAGCAAAACCTGCCAGGGCAACAAGAACACGCTTATCAGGCGGGTCATTCCAGGGACTTAGAGCTGACCTCCCCAGGGACCAATGGCAAAGGCCAGACCTCTTTGGGCAAAGTTAAAATTTTTACTATACAGGGGACTTTGCAGAATCTAGCTGAAGAGTAGAGACCAACATCTGTTCCTGACTTCCAAGATAAGTTCTCGAGGTGGACTTCAGAGATAACAACTGTGATCTAATTTTTGCAAGATTTTTATATGTAGAGCCAGCTTCTTTGAGAGAAGTAGGTTTGGTGGTTCTGTGGGGGCCAACCCTGAAGGACTAGAGTTTAGAGTTTACACGGGTGAACAACAGAAGAGAGAACTGGGGTGGCAGTGATATAAGGGTGGTTTTCCATACACAGGAAGGCAGTAAGCATCCCTCCGGGGCAGGGAGGAAGAGCCTTGGAAATCAAGAGCAGTGGAAAGGGAGGGGCTTTGGCTTGACCCACTTGTGGGGTTGAAACCAGCAGGTGGAAGTGGGGACAGAAACTCCTCAGATGTATTTAAGGATCTGAATGCAGAAGGGACACCTGCCCTTCCTACTGCTTGGAAATCTTGGAGGTGACCAGCTCACAGAGTGATTCACACCAGTAAACTACGATGCTAGAAAACACAGAATGTTTTCTGGGTGGTAAGCAAATCCCCACGTCAAGATGGCATGAGTGGAGCCCTGTGTGCGCCCGTTACTACGCGGCCTGATATGCGGACAAGTCTCACCACATCAACAGCAAGAATCACTGTTATTATTTCAAGCACAATAGGCAATTTATAGTTTTCTTATCTTCCTTGGTTAGTTGTCTAATCTCTGAATAAACACAGTTGTGGGCAATTTATAGCTGATCGCACCTGACTATGTTTTTCTTGCTTAGATACTGATGATAAAACTCCCTGGTCCTTGGCCTGGCATTTGGGCCTCCAGAGTCTGGCTTCAGCCCTCCTGCCCAATATGAGCTTCGGGTCCTCCTGCTTCCTAGATTCTGTGGCTCCTTACTGCACTCTCCTCCTCTGTGCTGCTACTCAGGCTGTTGTTTCCTCCTGGCCTGTCTCCATCTCCACTGAGCTTGAATTCTGCTTCCTCCAGGAAGCCTCCTCGGGTTTCCAGACCTGCTGTTGACCTCCCATGGCACACTGGCTTACCTCTGCTATAGGACCTACAAAATGCTGCCATTTGTCATTATTGTCTATGGTCTGAACATAGGTCGCCTCCTGTGTTTGACTGACAATTCCTTGAAGGCAAGGACCACACCTTTTCTTATTTAGTCTCCATGTTTCTTTCTTTCTTTCTTTTTTTAATCCTTACCCAAGGATATTTTTCCATTTATTTTCAGATGGAGCGGGAGGAAGGAAGGGAGGCAGAGAGAGAGAGAGAAACATCAATGTGAGAGAGACACATCGATTGGCTGCCACCTGCATGCCTCCAAATGGGGCCAGGGACGAACCACAACCCAGGTACGTGTCCTTGGCTGGAATCGAACCTGTGACTCTTTGGTCCATGAGCTGATGCTCTAACTGCTGAGTCCAGGGCATCTCCATGTTTCTAATGACACTCCCTCCCCCCCCCCCCCCCAGTCTCAGTCTCCCAGTATCTGGGAATATTGGAGCAGAAGGAGTGAAATGTCATGATTTGGGGGGCACTGGGGGAGTTGAGGCTGAACTCCAACATGGAGAGGAGGGGAGGGAGCCAGCAGATGGCTGGGATGGGGTTTGACATTTGAGTAGACTTGTTGTCAATGGGGTGGCCTCGAAGTCTTAGTGCTGGAGAGTAATGAGCAGGCCCCTTTCCATCAGCCCGGGGCCCATGCTTCTGTGCCTCTGAGTTAAACTTGGGCAGCAGGCTGGGGCTTTGGGCTGGGTGCGGATGGACCTCGTGAGAACGGAGAACTTCTCTTCTGACTCTCGCAAAGCCTCCAAAATAGAGAAAACCAGGTTTCTCTGGACCGCAGGCCGACGCTGTAACCGCTGAGCCAAACCGGCCAGGGCCAGGTTCCTTAGTATCATCCTCAGGTGTCTATGTGGTGGGATGTGAAGGGGTCTAGGAGTAAAAGTCAAGAATCACCACTCCAAAATGAAGGGATAAATACAACCTACAACTATTTTCAGAAATAGTCACTCTCACTAGCAGTCAAAGAACTAGGAACTAAGACAGCAATGGGGTCGGTTGGCCCTCCCTGTCTTTTATTTTTGTCCCGTGGTAGTGAACGTGAGGATGAGATACAGACCCTTCTTTCACTGCAGTTAAAACACAAGTCTAGCCCTGGCTGGTCTGGCTCAGCAGTTAGAGCATTGGCCCGAGGACTAAGGGTCTTGGGTTTGATTCCTGATCGAGGGCATGTACCTGGGTTGCAGGTTCGATCCCCAGCCACTTTTAGGGTTGTGTGGGAGGCAAGCAATCCATGTGTCTCTCTCACATTGATGTTCTTTTCTCTCTCCCACACTCCCTCCCCTCCACTTATCTAACAATAAATAAATAAATAAATAAATGAATAAATAAATAAATGGAAAAATATCCTTGGGTGAGGATTAACAACCCCCTCCCCCCCAAAAAAACCCAAAAACAAAAACTACAAGTCTAAAATTGATACCTTGGCCAATTTAAAAGCCATAAAATTTCATATCCTCTTTGCTCCAGAAATTCTTTTAAGAATTTATCTTTAGGTAATATTTATGACAATGCACAAAGACCTGGCAAACACATTCATAGCGATTCATTTAAAAAATAATAACAGTAAAAAAAAAAAAAAAAATCCTAAATGTAAGATACTGGGAATTGGATAAGTAAGCCATAAATAAACAAACACAAATATTCCTTCTCACCATCGAACACTCCGAAGTCTGGGACACGATGTTGAAGGTTTCGGGCGGCATTCCACAAAACTCGAGTCCTTGGCTCAGGTCTGTTTGTGTAGATGGGCTCTCCACACCTGGCACCTCTTCTGCACAGTCCCGGAGAAGGCAGGCTCAGATCCCTCTGCCTCTGGGACTGTCCCCTGCTTGCCGGACGGTTCAGACCTCGCTGAGGCCAGAGTGAGTGGACTAGGGCAGGCCCGGGTATGGAAGCTCTCAAGCCCGCATTGCAAGGGCTGGGTTTGTGCACAGACACTGGGCTGGCCGGCTGCCCGTGTGGGGTGATTCGAGACCAGCCACTCCCAGGAGGATACAGCTCAGGAGGGCGTCTCGTCTTTATCTTTGGTGGCCTCTTTTCCTGTATCTGCTGGATGGAGGAAATGGCAAGGGCGTCAGGCTGAATCGCTGGCCTGCCTGACATTAGCAGGACACTTCTCGATATGGAAAGATGCTCAGTGTATGTTGCCCAATGAAACAAGCAGTTCTCAAAACAGCAGCGTGCAGGAGGTATTATTTCATTCTTTTTCCCATAGAAGCATTATTTATGTCTGTGTCTATACCAACTGTATTTATGCACATGTATAAAAATGTCTAGAAAGAAGGCTATCAAAATGTTGACACCTGTTATTTCTGGGTAGTAAAAATGCAGTATTTTTTATTTGTGTTTAATTAGTATTTAAAGGTTTTGTCTTCTTTCTTCGTCTCTCCCTTCCTGTTCCCCCTCCCTTCTTTTGTTTGTTTGTTTCTTTCTCTTTACTGCAAAAATATATATTACTTATGTAATAAAAAGTTAAAAGGAATAATGAGTTCTGGGGAGCTTTACCTCTGACCCCTCTTCTTCTGCCAATGAAACCATAGTAAGGAACTCCTGATTTGAGGTGAAGTGGCCCTCAGGGGCAGTCTGGTGGGAGAAGCCGTTCATTCTGATGGGGGTACTTGGGAATGTCAGGGAGAGGCGGCCTCTGAGGAGCAGGTCCCGGAGAGAGAAGGGGAGCAGGGTCATGCTGTGCTCAGGGTGCAGACAAGTAGTGACAGGCATGGTTTCACTGTGGGTGGTGGTCTCCCCCAGGCCTCTGAGCATGTAAGTGCTAAGCGCTGGGCGCTCAGATGCTTTGAGGGTCGGTGGGGTTTGCTAGACACTCAGACTTACTGTCTTTCATCTGGACCCTGGGTACTGCCTATAATCATTCTTGTACCCTTTTGAGTTTGAGAGTCTTGGCATGAAGGAAACTTCAGGTTCATGGGAGACAGACATTCTTATGAAATGCCCTCAACGGATTTCCTAGCAGAGGGGAGACACCTGGTGAACTGATAGAACTTGAGTTGACACGACTTTCGTTAATGCAGCTCCAGGGAATGGCTTCCTCCCTCATGGTCTCCGTCTCTAGGAAGACCAGAAGACAGCCCACGTAAAGACTCTCCACCCCTGAGGTTCTTAATAGAGGCATGAGGGGTATTACCGGTAATTTGGTACTCATAATTGTTACATTTAGTTTACAAATAATTGCCTTTTTATTCCTCAGAATGGGTTCAGGAATAGTTAGTTACATAATAAAATAACTCAAACTCACTTGTTCTCTGACATGCATCTTGCCAGGGAGGCTATCAGTCTGCTGAGAATTATGTCTAACCTACCACGTTTATGATTCACACGGCAGAGTGAACCGTTTTCACTGATGTTCCCTTTATAGTTAAATTACTCTCATGCTTATAAAATGCTCCTCTAAATACCAAGCCAGGAGCAAAGAAAGCCGGATGCACTACCTGGGGTCTTGACAAAACCGGATTCTGACATGGCAATGCACGAGAGGTCCCTGACTTGCCTCCCGCGTGCTTGAGGGCGGACAGTGGCGAGGGTCTGAGATCTGAGATGGGGATGCCGGAGAGGAGCCACGGGGATGCCGGTGCGAGCGAGCTGAGAGGAGAGCCAGGCGGGCAGGTGGAAGGCCTGGGGGGCCTCTCCCATGCTCCCCAGAACATCCCCGAGGCAGCTGGGGGCAGCTCTCAAGGCTCCACAAGCAGGGAGACTGGAAGGGGTCATTTTTTTTTTTAATAGTTGGTACACTTGGCTTATTGGTAGGGGATGGTTTCCAGGTCCCTGAAGGGAATAACTGAGCATGGAAACCACATGAGAGGCTGTGAGTCTGGGGTCCCAGGGGAGGACCTGCCAGTCCCTGACCCCACTCCTTCACCGACGGGCCCTGGAGAACATGTTGTCAGCAGGAATCTGGAAGTTGCACTTCCTCTTTGTTCAATCCTCTGGAGGGAAAGTGAGTCCTGCTCATTCCACAGAGGAGTCACTTTGCTGCTCTCCTGCCCTCCGGAAACCCCTGGGTGCACCTGTGCAGGTTTTTAGAATGTTTGTTGTTGTCCAGGCACAGGAGAAGCCCGAAGCCTGACTTCTTGCAAAATGGGGAATTGAACAAAAGTGTGCTTGTTGATGGCTGGCAGATGGACAAAGTCCAAAAAGCAAAACTATATTCACCTGCTAACCCCCACGCAGCCCGATTCAAGACTAATTTTATCCACTGTCTTAATCATAACCTACATCAAGTGAAGAAGAATGCATTACTAGGGAGGAAAATCTTACCCAGGAGCCCCTCAGTGGGCTTCTCCTTAGGTTGCATAGGAGAGGGTCAGGTCATATGCTCATTCCCTAGCTGCAAGGGAAGCTGGGCAACTGAGAAATGGCACTTCACCTCTGCAGTGGGTGGTGGGCTCTTCAGCCAAGAAGAAGGACAAAGGGAATGCTTGTTGGGTAGGAAACCATGAGCATCCACCATACTTCCCTGGTGTCTGGTTCTCCAAACATTCAATTAGAACCATTGACAACAAAGTTCAAAAGTCCAACTTCTGTACCTGAGTTTGTTCCCTCTGTAGCTTGGAAGCTGTTGCTAGAATGTGGAGGTCCTGGTTGTAGCCCATGGCACACCATCTCCTACCATCATCTCTCACCACTGTGCCCTGCTGGCCAGAGCCTGAATCCCAGGTGCCCATCTGCTGGCAGTCTGCATAGAGCCTCTGATAGTTGTCCCACCCTTCTCCCTGTCTCCTTGAACAGCTGTCTTCTTCCTATACCTTCATCGTGTAGCTCTGTCCCCCGTCAATAGATGGCCAATTCTGTCTTCAGACGGGGAGATGACTAGGCTGACCTTACTGAGGTGGGTCTGGTAGTACCTCATCTGGTTTCTTTAAAAAGTACATATATTTTTATCCACTTTTAGAGAGAGAGATATGAAGGGACAGGGAGAAATATTGGTGTGAGAGCAAAGCATCCATTGGCTGCCTCCTGCACACCCCCTATCAGGGATTGACCCCGAAATCGGGCATGTGCCCGGCTGGGAATCAAACTAGCAACCTTTCAGTGCACAGTGCACTGGACAACGCCCAACCAACAGAGCCACACTGGCTGGGGCTCTGGTTTCTTTCTTTAGTCCCCTTACTTATGAGTCTGAGAGATGATACTTTATAGCAGTAACTAACTCATGCAAGAGCACCCAGGGCAGTGCACCGCCGTGACTCTCCTCCCGGTCGTTGGTTTCCAGGAGAGCAGGCCCATGTGCACTTCTCCTTGTTATGTTCCTGACTCATCAGTCATACTCACATCTGACAGTGTATAACAGAAACCTGACTGATGAACCAAACAGAAGCTGTATTTTTCTTGTATAGGAAGTCTGGAGGAAGGCAGTCTAAGACTGATGCAAAGTGTCCACAGTGTTATCAGGGACCCAGACTTCATCATCCTTCTTGTCTGCCATTCTAGTGTGTGCCTTTGGTCCTTTCACTTCAATGTACCTCAGAGTCACGGAACCTTCCCATTATCCATATTCCCACAGGGCACTCAATCCCCATTGTGAAGGATGGCTTGAAAACCTGGCCATTACCCAGAGTACTGGCACATATTTGCATAGGAGCATTTCTGCAGGGTTCCCAGCTTCCTAAAAGGAGTCCCTCCCTCCCTCCCTCCCTCCCTCCCTCCCTTCCTTCCACAAATACTTCTTGAGTCCCCAGTCTGTGTCAGACAATGTCCCAGGCACTTAGGGACACTGGCTGCCTTCTCCCCTTCCTCTACCGAGCAAGATGTCGTGTATGGCCACTGGACGCCAGACAGAACCGTGGCTCTCCAGTGAGCGTCACCTGTGTGGAAGCAGCCAGGCATGGGATGTGTGCTTGTGACGCCTGAAGAGTTAGGGAATTTCTGGAAAACGTGCTTGAACAGACTGCAAACACTCTGAAGGACTGCTCTCAGAGGGGGGACACAGGCCCTGCTTCTCCCCGAAGGACCGAAGCCATCCCCAGTCTCCATCTGTTGACTCCACACTTGGAGTTACAGATGGCTGGGCAAGTTAAATCAACTCGACACAGCTGTGGCATGAGACGTCCCCTGGCTCCTGCTCCCATCGGCTGGGAATCTTGCTGGTGACAGATGCAGGGAGCAAGGCAGCCGAGAGGTCAGGCTTAAAGAGGCTTGTGGCGGGTCGAGTCACATGTCCAGGTCTGTGGGAAGACTGTTCTGAAAAGTTCTCAACCCGTCGATGAGAGAGGTTTGCATGATGCTCCATCACACACGAGAGCTGTCTGCCGGGGAAACGGAATTAACCAGGAATAACTATTAACATTTTGTGTTCTTTATAATCATTTATATTTGTCCAGCGAATTCTATCTTTTGAAATGCTAATATATACCTGATCTCATTTGCTCTTTCAAAGAATTTTACTGTGAAATCTGTTTCATGTTATATATTTAACTATTCACAACTCTTTTCCTACTACCTGTTGGACCCAAACCATGACACCCCAACATATCCCACAGGGGGATATTGATCACTTTGAATTAACAGGCAGCTGGTGCCAGAGGGCACCTTGACCCTCCCCCGTCTCCTTGAGTACAGGGGCTAAATCTCCCGGTGAAAGGGCCCTCCCTGCTCTGGAAGGCTGCGGGGGTGACCTTATCACTGGAGGTAAGACATCTAGAGCCAGAGAGTTTCTGTAAACTATTCATTTACTGCCCAAGCCCAGGCTTCAGATTCCTACTAACAAATGCCCCCACCTTGCTTAGATTCCTTTCTAGTGAGCACTAACTTTAAAATCTCATAATTTTTTTGTTTCTTTACCTTAAATATATATATATGTATGTGTGTGTATATATATATATGTATGTGTGTGTGTGTGTATATATATATATAAAGGTGCCCAGTTTGATCATTTCTTTGAGCCTCATTTTATGATCTGAGCATCAT